GTTACAAGTTATTTTACTTCTTACTTCTCTCTTCCTGTGAAGAGAGACAGTGAAAAACATAAGGGCAGGAACTAAGACTTTTTTTTCTTCTTTGTATCCATGTATCCATGATACATTGCAGTGGCTCATAGTAAATTTCTATGGAAATTTGTTAAGCTATGGGTCAACTTGTAGTCTCTAGAGCCCAGACATCTAATGGGGAGCTGCAGAAAAAAGTCCCATTGCCGATCACATTTAGTTACTAGACTCATCTATTTGATTTAGCTTTTCACATGTACATAGAGCTCTCAGAAAAGAGGGATATTCTAAATATCTCTCTGAACATTAAAAGGCTAGAATAGAAGGGTGATGATAGTGAAAGGGGTTAACTAGTGTTTTTCATACATTAGATAATTCACAGCTGCTTCATTTTTCATACATTAGATAATTCACTTCAATGACCAATATTGAATATTCTTTGGAAATGTGTTTAGTGGAAATTCCCATTTATGCTTGTTTAAGTGGATTGATGAGGCTTAGGTAATCAAGTTGCAACACTGGGGAAAAATAAAAGAGACCAGACAAGTACCAACAAGGAAATTCAACTGAAGTGTTTGCTGCTGTGCCACATAGCCATGGGAAAATGAGGTCAGGATCAAAACTTGCTGGAAAGTAGCTTCTCTATTTGTTTTCCTGTCTTTCTTTAACTGAAGCATAGGGGAAATTTTGGTAGGCATCGATTTCCTTTGGATACAATATCTTTAGCTACAGATTTGCCTCTGATCAGTTCTGATTATCCTTATGCCAGTCTTGTGTTCAAATGCTTCTGAGCACCAACTAAAAGAGATCATATTGTATACAATGTGGAGATTCAGTGAGCTGTGACAAAAGACTGCAATAGCCAGTCTGGAAACATCTGTGGGAGTTTTAATTAGAGGAGAGCCACAGGCTAAATGACTGACAGAAAAAAAACAAAGAAAGTAGATGACTCATCTCTGAGCCGATGACAGCAGGAGTATTCATGGATTTTTCTCAGCTTTTAAACACTGTGGTTGGATTAAGTGTCTGAAATCATTCCCTACATGCCATATATTATTGAAACCACTTCTTTTGGTTTAAATTTCCTAATTTAAGAGTCTTTCTCAAGGGTAATCATCTTTGAACAGTAGATTTCTGATATCTGAATTAGAAGAATCAGAGTAAAGTCATCCCTCAATGAGGGCTGATAGTGTGGTAGTATGATTTCAAGGACGCCAGAAAAGCCTTCACTCCCATTTCTTTCCAATTGAAGTTCCTTGGTCCAAACACAAAGAATTCCTTGTTTCATCAAAAGCAATCACCATCTCAAATTTTGTTTTAAAATATAAACCCTGATACAAACATTAATAAGTAAAAGTCTGTCAGAACCTCTTAGGAAACAAATGAAGGGTCTGGGAAAAGCCTGAGGGTGGGGAGGTGTGCATCAGTATTTCTTGAGAATGCAGCTCACTGGGGACTTCCCTGATCCTGGATTCAGAAATTCTGGCAGCGAGAAGGAAAAGGCAGGCATTTGAGGTGGATAGAAAGTAGTAAAAAGGGAGATGGGGATTCAGAAAGTGAAAGTGAATAAAGATCAGTTTTGGATTTTGTGTTAATGACTTGACCTCGTTTTCTTCATGTGTAACATTGAACCAATAACACTTGTTCCAAGGCTCTTCAACAATGAGCAGAAGAGACTCTCTTTCCTTTGTCACACAAATTAATTATTATTATTTTTTTTCTTTTTGAAAGATAAGTGGTTTAAGTTTGGATTTCAAGATAAATGTGTGTGTGTGTCTGTGTGTGTGTGTGTCTGTGTGTGTGTGTCTGTGTGTATACATACATATATTCCCTGTTTATGTTTTTTGGGCATTCTTTTGCTTGAGAGTTTAAAATTTTTTTCAAAGACTTATTAAAAAGATCACCTCCCTCTCTAAGGATGAGGATTGGAAACTAAAAGAAGTCTGCCCAAGTTCATAGTTCATGGACATGATTTTATCAGTAATTCAAAAGGGCAAGATGACTTTATGCTTTTATAATATTTCTTTGTTACCTATCTAAGTAATCATTGGGAAAGGTTTTGATACTGTATTCGAGATTAGAGCCACAAGTGGCTTGAACAAACTTAATTTTTTCCAGGAGAGAGAGGATAGTTTCATGTCGCATGTCCATGAATCGTGACCCACAAGCCTTTGAGAACAGTTCAGGATCACTGCACTTTACATGTCTAGGTTGAGGAGAAGAGTACATTTGATAGTGTATGAAAAGTGCCTAGCAGAGAGACTGCAGTTGATAGGCATTCAGAGCAATTTATATACTAAACAATGATGAGGGTGGCTTCCCTGGATTTTTTACCTCCAATGTATTTTAGGCTACAAAGTGGACTGTCTTCTATCACAGATTGAATAGATTAAACATGGGCTAACAGAAAACTCAAATTTCAAGACACATCATATTTGTTTTCATGGATAACCAGTAATGTTGTCACCACTAAATTAGCACAGTGTGTTAGTACCAAGCTTACTTGTTTACAAAACTAACCAACCAACCAACCAACCAACCAAAACAACAAATAAAAAAACAACTGAGTGATTCAGCTACTAGGGATGTTGAGATATCTTAAAATTTTTAATTCTCAGTTGACATGGAGTCAATTTCATGTACTAATTTAGACTTTTTCTGAAGCATTTTTTACTCTGTAGCAACTCTTGAGGTAAAGAACTTCATGAATTTATTTCTTAATATAAGAGATAACTCTCCTCCTCCTTCTCCGTCTCCTCGTTCTTGTGGTTAAATTAACTCTTTCAAGTTTCAAGCAGAGTTTCCTAGGTTTAATAGATTGAAATTTCCAAATTATGTTCACCCATAAACACAATCAAATTTTGTGAGCATCCTTCACCAGTTTGGCTGGCAATCATCAGCAGTCTATTGACAAATATTTCATTCCTGTCCTTTCCATCACATAGAAAAATTGGACTCCCACTCACTTTGATGTTAGGCATACTCATGTGCTTTACTTTTCCTCATGAAATCTGAATGAAAGTGGCATATGGCTGCTTCTGAGCAGAAATTTTAAGAGCTATGATTAATTTGCCCCCATCTCTTTCTCTGGCAAAGTAATTGTTGAAGATTAAACCATTATCAGCATGGATGCCTGAGTGACTAGTATGAGCTGCACTGACTTGAAATTTACAATGAAAAAGAGAAATAAATCAATCATTTTTTGGATGCTGAGATTTGGACATTGTTTTTAAATGTGGTACAACCTAGCCTATTGTGATAAAATACAATTGCATTATAGATTTGCAACTTTTCTCTCAGACTAACAATGTTGGTTTCTAATCATATCTTTAAGTCAAGGCAAACATGTGCCATCTGTTGATTCTAAGGTCTTCTTATATTTTTACTTTCTTTTTTTTTTTTTTTTGGCTGAGCACAGCGGACTTTATTGATGGTTCATGACAAGGAGGGGCTCCCTAGACCCCTCCCTCTTCAGGGGTTCTGCATGGAAACTGTGAGGAGGGGAGATTCTCAGTGTGGTGGGGAACTGAGTACGGTAAGGACTCCCCAGCAGTGAGGGCCTCTTTCTTCCTCTCATGATCTCACTTATTTTAGAAAAGAGACAACTCAGATCCTCCTAAGATAAGAGATTTATCCAGGACCATACAGGTAGACTTCTTTTCAATTTTAACTTCCAATTTTTTTTTAGATCTTTGTACTTTGTAACTCATGCCATTCATTTATTTATTCGTTTTTGTGTTTTTGTTTTTTTCGTTTGTTTTTTTGTTTTTTAGTAGTGTCATCCATGATGGATATTCATTCAACTTTTTAAGTTAAATTTTTAATTTAATTTTAAAAAGTAATTGCTGGATAGTGGAAGAGCCAGCATTAGTCTCAATGATTATAGCTTGAGATCAGTGCTAAGTCTATTAGTTTTTTAGGGCTGTCATAACCAAATAGCACAGGCTGGTGGCTGAGACAACAGAAATGAATTGTTTTCATGTTTTTGTTTCGCTGTTGTTGCCCAGGCTGGAGTGTAGTAGTGCGATCTCAGTTCACTGCAACCTCCGCTTCCTGGATTCAAGTAATTCTTCTGCCTCAGCCTGCCAAGTAGCTGGGATTACAGGTGCCTGCCACCAAGCCTGGCTAAAATTTGTATTTTTAGTAAAGACAAGGTTTCACCATGTTGGGCAGGCTGGTCTCGAACTCCTGACCTCAGGTGATCCACCAGCCTCAGCCTCTCAAAATGCTGGGATTACAGGCGTGAGCAACCAGGCCCAGCCTTATTTTCATAGTTCTAAAGACGAGAAGCTAAAGATCAACATGTCAGCAGGTTTAGTTTCTTCTGAGGCTTGTTTTCTTGGCATGACGATAGCTGCCTTCTCATTGACTACTCCCTTGGTGTTTCCTCTGCATGCACACACCTGACGTCTCTTCATTTGTCTAAATTTCCAATTCTTACAAGAACACCAGTCAGATTGGATTAGGGCCCACCCTGACAACATTTTACTGTAATCACCTCTTCAAAGTTCCTATCTCCAAATACAGTTACATTCTGAGGTACTGGGGGTTAGGGCTTCAACATCTGAATTTTGCAGGCACAAAATTCAGCACTAAGATATGACAAATCAATAACATTTTAAATTAAAAACAAAACAAAACCTAAGGTTAGAATCTCAGTATTGTTTCTAGCAGCTATGATATTTATGGAGTATCAGGTCATAGAATTTAACATTAAATATTAACAAGACTTCAGTATTATTTGCCCAATCTAACAGAAGGCATTTAATCCCAGTTTTTACAACATACTCATCCTGATTTAGCTGACAGCTGAGGTCCTTGTGCTGAGCCATCTGCAAATTCTGTGTAAGACTGACCACACCTTTGAATGGGGAGCCTCCCAGGTGCCAAAGAGAAGCAATTGTGCAGAATAATCTGACTCACACTAATGATAGTCATCATCCTTACTTTCTCCCTCCCTTCCTTTTCCTTTTCTTTCCCAGGTCTTCTGTGAGTACACTGACAATTTCAAACACTACACTAGGAACTGAATTTGGATAAATCATAACCTGCCCCAGGGGCTCACTTCTAGGGGAGGCGACAGACAGGTAATTGCACAATTATAATATTATGTAACAATTATAATTATAACATACTATATAATGTTCTAGGCCCTATGAGTATATAAAAGAGGAATTTATAAGTCACAATTTGGGGGAAAGAGTCTTATAACCTACATTTCTACAAATTTTTTTTCTTTTCAGAGGATGTTTCTAAATTACTGCCAATTATATCACAGGAGATAGAACAAGTATGAGGCACAATGGCAAAGCATAGGATCAATGTTTTCACTAATGAATGGGAAATAGGCCCCCCAAAACGATTGCCCATTAAAGCCATCCCTTTGAGAGGCTATTAATGGCTTCCAAAGATGTTGCCTTTCCTTAAAGCTTTTTTGGAATTTGTATTTGGTTAGACTGTGAGCTCTTCTAGAGCAGAACAACGATTAACTTAATGCATGGTACATGATTGATGTTTATAGAACAAGTAAATGAACTCAGAGACAGTGGCTCATTTTTAATACCATAGTTGGTGAGTAATACTTGTTCCTGGGGTGTCTGGGGTTTTTAGAGACTTAAGACATCCAGATTTAACAAAACCATGATCAGATTAACAATGTTTAGAGTTCAAAGTGAGGCATAGATCTACAGTAATGGAACTGGATTTCTTCCAAACCATCTCCAAAGAATACCAGAACAAAAGTAGGAAGAAAAGAAAGTGTGTGTGTGTGTGTTTCTTTTCTTTTTCTTTTTCTTTTTTTTAGACGGAGTCTTCCTCTGTCACCAGGCTGGGGTTCAGTGGCATGATCTCGGCTTACTACAACCTCTGCCTCCCAGGTTCACCCCATTCTCCTGCCTCAGCCTCCCAAGTAGCTGAGATTACAGGCATCCACCACCATGCCCGGCTAATTTTTGTATTTTTAGCAGAGACGGGGTTTCACCATGTTGGCCAGGATGGTCTCAATCTCTTGACCTCGTGATCTGCCCACTTTGGACTCCCAAAGTACTGGGATTACAGGCATGAGCCACCACGCCCGGCCAAAAGGGGTTTTGATGAACAGTAACATCATCCTCAAATATGAAGAGTATTGGTTGTAATGTTGCTTGGAAGAAATTGGTAAGCACTTTTTAAGAAAAGTAGATGGTATTAGAAGCGTCCTGGGTTTTTTTTGTTTGTTTGTTTGTTTTTTTTTACTTTAAGTTCTGGGATACATGTGCAGAATGTGCAGGTTTGTTACATAGGTATTTATGTGTCATGGTGGTTTGCTGTACCTATCAACCCATCATCTAGGTTTTCAGCCCCGCATGCATTAGGTATTTGTCCTAATGCTCTCCCTCCCCTTTCCCCCCACCTTCCAACAGGCTCCAGTGTGTGATGCTCCCCTGCCTGTGTCCATGTGTTTTCATTGTTCAACTCCCACTTATGAGTGGGAACATGTGATATTTTGTTTTCTGTTCTTGTGTTAGTTTGCTGAGAATGATGGCTTCCAGCTTTGTCTATGTCCCTGCAAATGACATGAACTCATTCTTTTTTATGATTGCATAGTATTCCAGGGTGTATATGTGCCCAATTTTTTTTATCCAATCTATCATTGGTGGGCATTTGGGTTGTTTCCAAGTCCTTGCTATTGTAAATAGTGCTGCAATAAACATACTTGTGCATGTGTCTTTATAATGGAAGGATTTATAATCCTTTGGTTATATACCCAGTAATGGGATTGCTGGGTCAAATGGTATCTAGATCTTTGAGGAATCATCACACTCTCTTTCACAATGGTTAAACTAATTTATACTCCCATCAACAGTCTAAAAGCATTCCTATTTCTCCACATCCTCATCAGCATCTGTTATTTCCTGACTTTTAATAATCATCATTTTAGTTGACATGAGATGGCATCTCATTGTGGTTTTGATTTGCATTTCTCTAATGACCAGTGATAATGAGCTTTGTTTCATATGTTTGTGGGACGCATGGTTGTCTTTTGAGAAGTGTCTGTTCATAGCAGAAGCATTTCTTCTGGAAACAAAGGTACTTTGTTCCCAGGATTGCTTAAACACCAGAGAACTTTGAATAAACAAAAATGTCCTTGAGCTGACTTTTGGGATTGGAGCTGGTGAGTACTGCATTACTCAGTGTGGCATGAAAAGCATTTGGAGTTGCTAGGAGCAATCCTAGAAGCCCACTTTAAAAACGATCATAGGGAAGAGAAAGAGAGAAGCCACTGAAATGAAGAAAGAGCACGTGACACCAGTGTGCCTGGGTGGACAAAAGACAAGGGGTGGATTGTTTCAAATAGAGGATTGGTTCACACAGGGATTCAGCTCTTTGCTCCCTACACTGATGTTACAGTTACAAGCACTATACTGGCATGATCTTATTGTTGATATTTTTTAAGATCAAGGAAAAATCCTGAAAGTCCATATCTGAGTGTAAGTGGTGTAAGTCAGGGGCAACATTCAAGGAAGATAAAATAATTCATAAATAGAACTGATTTATGGGAGCAGGAGCTCAGAAGTAGAAGTGACAATAGAAACCCAGATCCTCCTGAGATTCATAGAACTCTTAGAAAAGGCTTTGACTATGGCCTGGGGGTTCTGAGTAGCCTTAGTTTAAGCAGAAAGCTTACCTCAATTGACATATGAGTTTCATATAAAAGATAGCACTAGACAAAATCTGAGCACCTCTATTTTGATTATAGAAAATTGGTTCTGAAGCTCTTTTTTTTATTTCTTTTCTGGAATTTTCTTCTTTCTTTACTAAGAAAAAAGTTCCACCCTGCTACTGCTGCCCCTACAGAGTTGATCATGATATTTGCTGCATTCCCACTGTATTATCCAGAGATTTACATTTTAGCACCTGTATAAGTTTTAGACAATTTAGAAATTATCCGCTCCTTTAGATTCTGAGCTACTTGAGGTTGGGGAACATGTCTTATTTTTGTTTATGCTGAACCCTTTGTTTCTATCAAATATCCAATAAATGTTACTGAATAAATGAATGAAATAGTGATTAAATGTATGTATGTATGAATCAATGAATGGAGATGAGTATCTATGTTCCTAGAAGGTATAAGCTAAACGCAGGGAATTTTAAGTAACAGAGTACAAGTGTGGGCGTAAATCAGAACTAAAGCTTTTCAAATGTCAAAAAGAATTTTACTTGACTTCCTTCTTAGAGACTGCTTTGATTTGCTTGTTTTAAACATCTTTCATCTCCATCCCTTGTTTTCTGGAATTTATATAAGCTATCACCATCCTCCCCACCACTACCCTGCTAAAAAAAGGCCCTTTTCTGAGAAACAGAAGAGGAAATAAACGAAATTGGTTTGCATGCCTTAGTGAATTCTTACAATGAAAGGATAACCTGGAAACAATTCTCATTACGCTTAGCAAAACCATTTTTCAGTCTATACAGCCCACTATCTAGTTACAGTATTGGAATACTGTTAAGAATGGAGCAAAGTCCAAAGAATCAATTACATCCCCAATCAAAGTGACTGGCCACACTTTCAGTAGCTGGTGAGAGCAAAGAGGAAGTCACTAAACCAGAAGATCTAATCAGACTGTTTATCATGTGACAAGAAGCTCTTAAGTGTTCCTATTGCTGTTCTTATGAGTCTTCATGTCATCCAAATGGAGACAAGGGACTTCTTTAAAGAGATCAAACAAGGTTGGTAACAGAAGTCCACATGTGAACCTGAGCCCTGGGGAGGGATTATTGAGAGAAAACCAGAAGCATCAATTTGCCCTTTTCCCCCTCTTCTTCAGAGACCTGTGTTGAGAGCCGGCCAGCATGAGTCGACTATTGTTGCCTGGCAGTCAACCAGAATACAATCTATTACTGGAGAAAAAGCAGTGCATGTGGGAAGGAACTCAGCCCTCTTTTGTGGGCCTTGTATTGTTACTGCACAGCAGAGGATCCAGATACAGGAAACTAGCTTTAGTGGCATTTTTTTTTTTTTTTAAGGAGAATACTTGATTTGAACAAACAGAACTGTGTACCCTCCCTAAATTATATTTATTTTGTAGAATTTGTTTCCAAGGATCTTTGGTACAGTTTAATCCTGGTGAGTGGTATGATGTCATGTGAGCAGAATAAAAGGCTGACAGAATAAAAAATGACATTAAGGAATCATTTTAAGTCTGGAAATAAATGTGGGCTGGTGGAAGGAAAGGATGTGGCCTGGTGGCAAGGAGAAAAGAGGGAGTGCCCGGTGAAGGGCACATGAAATGTGAAATCCTATGAGCCAGTCTGTTTCAGGGGTTGGAAGGCAGGGTTATTGTGTAAAGAGCAAGGCTAGAAAACCACTGTGAGGCATAAGAGTGATTATATCCTGGGGAGGAGATGCTTCAGCCTCTCAAGTCTGATCCACAGACATTTGCTTCGTTGTTTGTTTTGATAAGTAGGGGCTACTGTTCACATCTGAGAGAAATGGCATGGCTAATGTGATGCTCCTGATAAGTTCTCAACCTTGGTTATATATCGGAATCACTTTAAATTAAATTTACTAATGCCTTGGTATTTTACAAAGGTGTCTAGGTGATTTTAATATGCCACATGCTAGAAGGAGCACCCTCACTTTACTTGGGCAAGTTCAGTCTTACAATATACGTTATAGTACTTCTTGACTTCTTTGACTTCAGTGACCATCTGCAATGTGGTTACCTGCTGATACAACTGCCTCCTAAACTAGTGGTTTTCAAAGTCAAGGTGCATAGGCATTTCCAGTATATCTTGTAAAAGACAGAAAAAAAAAAAAAAAAAAGACAGATTTGATTCAGTAGATCTGGGGTAGGGCTTGAAAATCAACATTCTAACAAAAACCCCCTCTTGTGTTCCTCAGAACACACTGTGAGTAGTAAGTTCTTGCATTACAACTCCTCATAGCCTTGTTCCCACTTCCATTTGGTGTAGCCCTCAAGAGTGCAGGCTTTGGATCTGGCCTCTACCCTCTACTAGCTGACTGAGTCTGGGCAAGTTGATTAACCTTAATTACCTAGTTTCTTTGCCTATAAAATGAGGATAAATGAAGGTTTTGTGAGGACTATAAAGTATTAACTCAAAGTGGACTAACAGCACAGGGCCTTGCACGTGATTAGTTCCTAGCTTTCTCT